TTCTGTCCTTCTACAGGCGTCTCTGAAACCATGACTCTCCTCCACAGAGTGCAGACCACATTCACTCAGCCGCTACATGCTGGAGTTCGGCTTTATCATCCTCATGGAACCACAGCTGAGTTCTGTAAACTGAAATAGCCTGAAGTCATTTGAGGAACTCTTCTACTTCTTAAACTCATTGTGTGTCCATCATTGTTGCTGAGAGCTGATTGTTCATGTCTTCACTGCACAGAGATCAGCTGTCAATCAAACATGATGGGATGTGCTTTAACATCTTCTCATGAGTTGTTCTGTAGATGTTGGAGTTTCTTCAGGCGGCGCTCCTTCCTGTGTCTGTGTAGCCATGGAGGCTGTCACTGCTCAGGAGGATTTCTGTTAACCTCAACTCATATTTCTCTGCATGAAAATGTAAAGTTTGCTCTAAATATTTGTTGGATATTTCTATTGATGCATTTATATTATATATATATATAAGTTATTTCTCTTTGAATGCCTGAGTCTTAAGAGAGAAAGCAGCAGAGCTTCTTTCATTGTAGATATTTTATTCTCACTGCTCATACATTTATAATAACGTGTATTTTCACAGACTAAATGGTATTGTTGTTTCCAAAATCGACTAACAAATGAGATACTTTGATTTTAATAAAATGAGTTTGATCAGAAAATGTCCAGTTCCGGTTTTTTTCAGTTGCTAAAACACACAAATCTCACATAAAGCATAATTATTTAAACTCTCACTCAAAGAGCAAAACCTCAGCTCAAATCTCCCAAACTCTAAACGCACTTTCAGCTCTGCACCCAGTTTGCAGTTCAGCTTGGCACTTTTTGCAAAACACTGCTCACAGTTCTCTAAGTAAGACACAGAAATCTGACATATTCCCTTGTTTGCCATTTTCAAAACACTGCCATTAAAAATGCTACACACATGAACCAAGCAACAAATAAACATGTACTGACGTCAGATGAAGAGTTATTTGCAGCATAACGGTTGAAGCTGTTTGACCGTCAGGCTACAGGTGATGCTTCTTCTGCATCTTGATAAAGGAGCTGAGGTCAGACCCAGTGAGGTGGTAAAATGCAGACTAAGTATTTTTTTCTCCTCTGTTTTTTCTAAAAAGATTATCTGTATTTATTTTTCCTCAAAGTTTTCATTTCCATTTACTGTATTTGACACAGGCATCATTTGTGTTCACACAACTATAACTATGTGTTGTGCAGGAATGTTGCACCAATTAGTTTGGGAGAAAGATAAAAGTATAACAACAGTATATTTGTGTTTCTGCACATATTTTTGTAGATTTGAATAATCTTTATACGCAGAATTCTCTACAGACAGATCACCAAAAAAGATGAGTGTGCTTTAGATAAAGCACCACAGTGTGTAGTTGGTCGGACAAAGAGTTGTGTACAGGGCCGGCCCTAGACTTTTGGGGGCCCTAAGCGAGCTTTGGCTTGGGGGCCCCTCTCCCTCTAGCGCGTGCTCACGACACACAACACGGAACCAACTTTTGTCTTATGATGTTAGCATAAGCACACATATTGTATAAATAAGCATTTAAACACTGTGGACCTAACCTCCTCTAGGGGGGTCTGGGGATTCCCCCCCCCCCCCCNCCCCCGGGAAGATTTTTTTTTTTAAATATTGAAGTTAAAAGCATCAATCTGGTGCACTTTGAGAGCAAAATTAAGAGATCTATGGATACATCTCTCAACACCCATATGAAACAGAACAAACAGATTTTTCTTTTTGGATATTTTACAAATCACTCCCTTTTTAAACTGTATTCTTGTTTTGTCATATAGTATTTCATAACTGTTTTTCATTTATTCTATCTGGCTGTCCATCTCATAAAGTTCACATAGAAACTAGCTGTCAATAGGAATATCATTCAGAAGAATTATAATTTCATGCAAAAATCTGTCACAAAAAGAGGTTGCACATTTAAATTCAGGTGTTGTTATGGCAACGTCAGTGGCCAAACAGCCACATTTACTGCTGCAAATACGTTCAAACATGCTTTCGACACGTAAAGTGGTGGCAACTATGCCACCATTTCAGCAGACTTTTTCTCAGAAATACTGTCACATAACATTCATATATTTCAGTGCTAGGTTGATGCTTAGCTAAGCTAACTATGAAACACTTTAACTGACAGGACTCCGGATCAACTGTGTACTGTAAGGTAGCTTCTAGCTTCATGTCGAACAGTAGGTCAACATTTCCCAGAGAGCTTTCTTTGAAATCACCAGGTAACGCTAAAAAAGATTACATTTAGATTGTATGACAAAGTGTTTATTTAATATATCTGGCTAGCTATAGCTACTTGCTAACGGTTTAGCTTACCCCCGCGATTCAAAGTAACGTCAACGAAGCTGTAATTTCTCCTGGCTCAAGTGCTGGCTCTGGGGTTGTTGTGTGAATTACCACTTGAGAATTGTCGTCTTTTTTAAGAACAAATGTTCTTATGTCCATCTTCAAAAACTCTGAGTCTGAGACCGACAGTTTATTTTAACTATTGTCACAGCTCACAGGATAGGTACCTGTCAGCCAATAAGACAGATGTTTATTTCCATTCAACTCTCTGGTTGGTCTGGTGTCTTGCCTCTGTTGCATTCACTGAACACGGGAAATTACAATCCTGCCGTCCTCTCTNTATCCGAGGACCTCAGGACACACACCATAAAGCGGACACCGAAACACCAGATACACAGAAAAAAAAATAAAATAAAAAAAGAAAATAAAAAAAAAAAAAGAAAATACAAAAAGCAACAACCACGTCATTAACCCTTTTAAAAGGATTTGCACACATCTGCCCTGTTTAAAACAAAAGGGCTCCCGGTCCTTCTGTGCCTCCACAGCCTGGCTGCTCTCAAATCGTGCAAAAAAACTGTTCAGCTCATCTGGGAGAGATGCGCACGCAGACATTCCCGCAGCACCCCCGCTGCTCTTTCAAGATGTTGCGTGGGGCTTAACAGGTTAAAGACACGTTAACACGTTAATTTGCTCAATCAAACACTGCAAAATCCCTCGCTAGTGTCTTCCTTGGAAATTAAACTGGTCCTCAAAAAGAAAAGCGGCTTGCTGTTGACAAGACAGCTTATTGAAAGCATGGATGGATGTAACACTCAAGACAGAAACATTAAAATCAGGCAAAAAAGAAGCATGCGGTGTGGGATGTAATGAATGGCCGGTATGGGTGATCAAAGTTCCGGTACTTGGGCCTGTGTGCTCTGTTGGTAGCAGCGGTTTGATTCGACCAGAGACCGACTGAAAGGCTCTAATGAGGCAGCAAAAAGTCGCTCTGTCTCTCCCCATCCTCTTTCTTTTGTGTCTCTTGCTTCTCCTTCTGTTACTCTGTGCCCTCCCTCAACCCATGAGGTGACTGTAGGACACGACTTTCTAAAGGGCAGAAGCAGTGAGGGAAAACTAAATTGGAACAGTGGATCTGTCCTGCTGTCGCGCAGACAGACGAAGGATAGCTACGTCACCCATCTGAGAATGGTCACTAGGGTTTTCATAATTAGATTGTAAATTGACCTGGTTGGATATTAAAATACCAGTTAATAAGCCAGGCAAAGTGGAAAAAAAGGAATTCACAGCAGGAGGTATGAGGGCCAAAATGCCTATAATTTAAGTCCAATTTGTCTGTACCCTCATATCTGAGTTGCATGTTTCCAATTTGCCCTGATGCCCGACTAAAAGGGCACTTTAGTGGTCTAAAATATCTCTTATGATTGGACAGATGTCCCAAAGATTGAAGCAATTGTGCCTCTAGTCAGCCAAAGTGTCCAACTAGCAGCCCCTGCTGTCAGCCAAATTGAAAACAGTTCAAAATCAGATTTTACCACATGAAGAAATTCATATGACCCAGTGCTCCAGATTTAAAGACGCCATAAATTCCAGAGTAAACCAAAATACGAAAACATACCCACAAGAATCTACATTTAATCACAATGAGACCTATTCATAGTATACAGGCTGATGTCTTGAGGAATACAACGATTGTTGTGTTTACTTGTTTTGGCTGAGGTTAATGCTGCCAATTAAAAGGATGGATTCTTGTTTACCCAAGGGGCCTAATGACTAATGAAAGAAACCCTCTGAAGTTGCTCAACAGTGGCCTAACTGCCCCTCTTGTTGGTGACTCATAACCGCATAAGAGACCCTTTATCTCTTAGGTGCCCACCTTTAGTCCAACTGCCCAACTCATTGGCTCAGCTGCCACTCTTGTCTGCCCATGAGTTTGTTGTTGCAACGAACTCAATCCTCTTGTACATTGACAGTTCGTACATAATTTAGTCGTTATGTATAACTCAATTCAGTTTAAAGGGGACCTATCATCAACATACACTTTTTGATGTCTTTAATACAGAAAGATGTGTCCCCGGTGTGTCAGGGAACTCACGCAGCGTCAGAAAATAAAACCCTCTCTCCTTTCCTCCATACCCAAATCTCTAAAAACAGGGCTACAACGGAGCTGATCCAGATTTGCCATCCGCTATGACGTTATTTACGTCATATCGGATGACACCTACGTGGTGGACCCACGGCCCTATTAGAAAGTTGCTATCAGAAAGAATGCCCGACGTGTTTTGGACGTAATATGGCCTTTGTTTACATTAGCATCGCTAACACTCAGAGCTAACCTGCACTGCACAGAGCATGTGTGTGAAGAAGCAGGAAATAAAAAGGAACTCACCTTGTGGTATAACCAGCAAGAGAGAAAGCCTTTGAGCTCCATACTGTTTCAGAAATAATCCTTGATAATCCATGATATGGCGTTTCATCACCGCAGTATTTAGTTTAGACAGTAGCTGCCGGGTCCCGCATGAGCTCAGCCCCCTCCTTTTTATTCTTTTAAAGCTTTATACCCCGAATCAGCAGTTTTGAAACAGGAAGTGAAACAGAGGGATATGAGGCAAGGCTAGAATGGGTGATCTGTTTGGTATTTTTGAGCAAAACACTTCATAGACATGTTTTTTATATATTTTTATATATCTGAGACCTATGCTATTGCCTAAAAATAGCATGATAGGTCCACTTTAAGTAATGTTCCTCAGGTCTGACTTTGTTGTGTGGGAGTGTGTTTATAACTTTTTTTTGACAATTCATCCTTTAAAGTATCAGGATACTTGTGCATGGAAGTGAGGGACCTATTACATTGTGAGATGGTGATATGACAAGTTTTTTTTAAAGAAAGTGTGCTCTCTCTGCAGCTCCCCTCTAAGCAGACTGAACGCTGGCTGAATTCAGATTGTGGTTGAAGCTCGAGGGAAATACAGTCTGTGTTGGCTCAGAAAAACGAGGGGTCACAACGAGGTCACCAGCTTTTCCTCAAACTAATCAACGTGAGATTTCAAAAAACACGCAGTTGGAGGGGAAACAATAGCGAATACTGTTGACGAATGTCCCTTAGAGTTGCGAGGCAATATAACATCTCAGAGTTCTTTCCTAATCTTGTTTATGAGTCTCTATTATTGCTTTCATCTTCTCTTTTCTTTACCTCTGCTTCTAGGAGGAAGTAGTCATATTTCTCCTGCTGCCATCCAGCTGTGCAGACAAAATATAATTATTGGAGAGACAAATGAGGAAAACATTACACTGCTGATGAATATTAAACAGGAAGGAAATGTTGTCAGTTTTGACCAAACATAATTAAATCCTCCCCAGCTGTTGCCTAATGGAGTCAGTGATATCCACGTTGTAGCTGAGCCTTGTTCCCTTTTGTGAAAGCCTGCTATCCTGTCACAGTGTGTGTGAAGGAGTGGAGGAATGTGCCTTGAAGGCCTACACATTCTTCTAAAGCGTGTTCCTATGAATTAATTAACCAAAGGGTAATTGTTCTCTAGACCTCAAATTTGGATATGTGAATTAACCTTAAATTGTTTTAATGAGATGGATGTTATGCTAAGGCATGTTCCGCCCTCTGCAATGGGAACATGTGAGAGAATTATGAGAATTAAAGAGAGATGGAAGGAAAATCTAATGAAATCCAGAGATATGTGGATACACTATATTAATTTCCTCATGATCACACGAAGCAGGAAATGTCTAGGGCATTAATTAATCTCATGGTGTATTTTGGGAAAGAATGTTAAAGTTTCCTCATTTTTTTCAGATATTAATAATAATAATATCTGATTATTTACACATAATATTTCCAAATATGGTGTCAAAAGGTTACTTGTAAAAACTTAACTTTTATTGGATCCTTTTTTTTTTCCTTTTTTTTTTATTTTAAATCCTAGTAAATGACTTTGAATGACAAATAATATAAATTTGATGTTTCAATCAAGCACATTGACTGATAGTGACATGGTCCAGACTTCCTTTTTCGAAGAATGTATGGGTGAAATGCAATAAAAACGCCTCAACTGCAGAATTTTCTAAAACAAAATCAGTGACCTCTACCGATGATATAAACCAAAGCCAAAAAGGACTGACATTTAGCTGAATTATGTGCCTGAGCGCAGACCTGTGTGAATAGCACCTCTGCTGATATTTGCATCTGAATGGCAGAGCCTTTATATGGTCAGAGAGGGGAACCGGAACTGCAGGAGCTTCCTTCCATTTTTTTATTCCTCATACCGTGTCCATATTTAGTATACGGAAGAAAGACGACAACGTTTTCATCCATACTGACATCACCGACGAGCCATTTTTGGGCTGCGGATGGAAAGCATCACACTCCTTCTCTCCTCCTACTTTGGAAGCGGCTCTGGTCGATTTATTTCATCTATTTTTAGAAACGAGTGCAGAGTCGGCGTGTTCTCCCAGGGCTGCCTGAGCTCCCACATCAATGAGGGGGCGTTCGCAGACACTGAGAGCGTGGTAGTGTAAGAGGAGAGGATGAGTTGGATGTCACTCCAACACTGCAGTGGTGTAGTATCTCGTCTCTCCGGGCGGCGGGTAAATTAAGAATAAACGAATGAAAACAGAGAAGCATCATTTCCTCTTCCTGTGCTGAGTGATAAACAACACCACTCTCCAGAAATAAGTGAATCTACAAAAGATGTGTGCCGGTTTATTTTGGGCTTCAGAAGTAGATAATAATGTACAGTTATTTTTAAGTCCCAATTACTCAGTTCGAGCACAGCCTACACTGACATGTGAGGGTGTGTACTTGTGTGGCTGTACAGTTTACATGATGTGTATTTGTGTGTGTGTCAGGAGCTGAAATCTACTATTAAAATGTTCCCCTGCCTCTGCTACTGTTTCTAAAGTGACACACCAAATTACCAGTGTTCCTGTGAAAATGACACGCAGCATCACACACAACAGAAGCTTCCGGGGTGCACAACGAACATCTGCGTATAAAAAGATTATTTGCAGTTGCCATGTTCGTATGAAACATTGCAGTTAGGTATTAATAAAAGAGTTTGAATTTAAATCAAGACCAGTGCAGGGGGGGAGACAATGGGAATGACACACGGAAAATGGTCCACTTCGGGACCTCGCTCCTATTGTGCCCATTTGTATGGGATTGTAAAAAAAGAAAATTCCAACTCTTCGGTAGACCTCAAATTATTTTTAAATGTATCCCGTTATTATCCCTATGCCCCAGTGTCTCCTTAAGCTCGGACCTCAAACTCTATGAAAGAAATGTAAACCAGCATAACCAAACTGGTTAATGGTCAGACACGCATATTCCTACATATAGGAAGATTGTAAATCAAGAAATTCAAACAATACCCACACAACATGTATGCATAGACTGATCGTTCAAATAAAACGGGGGGGGGAAGTTGGTGGCAGAGAAACTCCCTAAAACCTATAGAACACACGACAGGAAAGGGATAATCCCAAAAAGCAAAATAGGGCCCTTTCAATTCATATGTATCATATTGCCAGAGTCTAGCCAATACACTGCCCTACTTAATAGGTGCTTGTTTCTTCAGGACAGTTTTCTTCTTAGTTCTCTAGTTAATGAAGTTATCCATTAGTTCTGGCTATTTTTAGTGATGCTAATGAAGTCAATGAATTCATCAAACAGTCCAGTGCCTCTCCTCCCTGAAGAACATGATGTTCTCCACTTTCTCCATCGAGCTCAATTTCTCAAACCCAGCTCTCGCTCTCTCTCCTGACTTGGCTCTGTCATATGCAGTTCCACATCCTCTGTCCATGTGCTAATGCTGTTCATCTTAATGAAGCTCTAATGAATTACACTGTTACAGAGAGTACAGGCAGAGGGATTCTGGCAGAACGGCTCCGCCACCTCGGAGAAATAAAGCAGTTTGAAGTCCGACCATGTTCACTCGGCAGCCCACACACTTTCCCGCTAACAAAACCCAATTAAAATGCGCAATTACAAGCTGGACGATTTTACAAATCTGCCTTCAGTCCTCATCAATTATGAAGCGCGAGGTAAAGTCCTGTACGAGTGATTATCCCTGACAAACGCACACACACACTTATCTGTGGCTCTGTGGTCTAAGCTCTAGTCACAGTAACAGACATGTGTTGGCTGAAGAAATGAAAACCAACACACACATACTTGTATATACACACACACAACCACAATCCTTGTTATCAGCTAATTAATTAGCTAGCAGGCTTTCTTTTCTATTCATTGATTCCACAACAATGGTGCTCAATGTGTTTTCTTACGTAAAAATAGGCTGAGAAATAATACCACTGCCACCTCACATTGTAATATATCAACAGGAAGGCTGATTACTTTATGATAGATCAATGAATCTGCCTAATGAGGGAAATGTTAGTGAACATATCTCTTATCACTCATCTCTTCCTACCAATCTATCTTTGGTGTTTATTTAGCTGTATTTAATTAAGCTGTGTTACCGTTTGTCTTTCCATTATTATTCCTGCCTCCCAGAAATATGTCAGTTAAGGCGGAAATAGATACTTTCATCACGACATGAGATAAAACATGCTATTACATTGTTTAATAGAACAATACAAAACGGAAAATAATGTATTCTCAGTTCTGCTGTTCTGCTGCTTTTAGTGATCTCTTAGTATTCTGCTGAAATACAACAAATGAGCACTAAAGGCACCAATTGAAATAAACATACAAATATGTTGATTAGGTCAGGTTGATTTGTGCATGTTTCTACAAACTTTCAAACACAGTAAAAAGAGCAATATTGAAGTATTTTCTGAAAACAAGTTGACATGGCTTTGACAATTAAACAAATATATATTTTGGAGACGTATTTATTAAGTCACTAGGAAAAATATCTTTCCTGCTAAATAAATTGCTTCAGAAATAAGCTCTTGTGCTCTTGCCACCATCACATTACGTTAACAATAAACAAATACTGGAAACAAAAGCAGATTATGTTAAATCTAAAGTTAAAATTGGAGAATCCTCCTTGAACTACATGATTTACTCTCTTTGCATTATGCCTGGTAACAAGCCTATTCCTATGGTAATGCACAAAGGTTGTGAGGCTGCCGCTTAACACAAGGGATGACAGACTGCTTTGTCAGAACAATTCCCCCCTTCAGTCTGCACAGACCAGCTCTGATCCCTGCTGATTTCTCTGAGTCATGGCTAGGCTTCCAGAAAGAGAACTGAACAAAAGAACATGAAACAGGCAACCACAATATATATACAAGTAAAAGACCATAAAAGCACAAAGAAAGCATGAAATGAATGACAGCGAAGCAACCGAGCTGATGGAAATGGGGGGAACTTCACACACTAAGTCAAACCTTTCCTTATGCATTTCTAAACGAGTCGTTGTGATGCAGAGACATTTCAAAAGCATATCAATGCCTTACATGTAAAACACAGTACTTTATGCAACACATTGTCCCAGAACACTTTATGACGGAGGTTTTATAGTTGAAGACAACTCCAGAACACAAAGTGGTTTTTACTTAACAGATATTCAGAGACAAAAATAACAGCCTTGCTATTCAAAGGGTTTGTGTTTACACTCTTTGGTTGTTTTGAATAATTGAGAGTTTACCATGAGTCATAGGCCTCAACAGAAGTGCTGTTATTAGAGCAGAGAGTAGATTTCTCAAACATTGATGATCGTAAAAGCAATAGTAATGAGCTTCTATTAATTGAAATTAAAGTATTTACTCAAAAAGACACAGGGAGGAATAATGAAATGATGAGGCTTGAGGATAAATGAGAGGGAGCACCCATAAAGGTTTCTCCATGAATAATGAATGCAGCTTTTTATACCCTCTGTCAGATGTCCCTCTTTTCCCATCCTTTCACCATCTCTCCCTCATTCCTTACTCTCATATGTTCACGTCTGTTATCTTAGGTCCCATCAAAAAACCAAAGGGAATCAGTGATCCAGCGGTAACGCGGACTCGACACACTCCTCACCGTGTGACTATGACTCGACTTTGCACAATGCGCGACAATGATATAGACACCTGTCTTGCTTCCTACAGATGTTCCTACCTGTGCATCTGCTAGAAAAGGGCTTTCCATTATCGCCTATGCAATGTATAACTATAGATAAGCCTATAATGAGCAGAACCAGGGCTGATCCAACTGAAACCAGGCAACACGCTGCGTGAGATCTGAGCGCATTGTTGTTGACGAACTGGAAGACTATAAATATATCAACGTTTTTTTAAGGAACGAGAGCTAATCCACATTGGCATGTGATTTGTTTTGAATATTTTATACCAGACACATTTGTGAATTTATCATTGGCTCACAGCACTGGAATATAAAAGAAAACAACTGCGAGCCTTTATCTTTCCTGAATGGTAGGGAAACAAGAGATTAACCAAATGGGAATGCTGTGACAAACATCCTGGATAAATTCCTCTTAAATTAGAAAATGCTTAGTTGTATGAATAAGCTCCACATTAAAGTAAAAGCAGATTAATATTCTATTTTTATCATTTAAAGTATCGTAATGATCGAGTTACGTGAAAAATGGCGCTGTGTGTGTGTGTGTGTGTCCGGTTTCAGGTTGGTCATCAGCTGCTTCTGCTCAACAGCACGAGCCATCCCATTCACCATCTGCTTGTGCAACCCCCCTCTACCCCACCAGGGGTGCTACAGCCACTACTAGGACTCACCAAGATCCTTAGAGCCTTGACTTTCGCTGGCCATCTCGCCCATCCGCACCAGAGCGTCGAAGTAGCCCTTTGCAGCAAATGTGACACCTGGAAACATGGAAGCATTGGGCATCAGGTCAAGGGGGCGGAGTTGAAATGTATCTTCTTCAGCTCCTGCAACCCTCCCCTAAAGCCCACCCCCCCCTCCCCCCACAGAGAGGTAAGGTTGGGCATGGGAGAAAAAAAGCGACAGGCGGAAATGGAGACCAGGCAGGAAAAGAAAAAGCTCTATGGAGGCAACTACAGGAAACAGAGATACAGCTAGAGACACTAATCCCAAGAACAACCAGTTATAAAACATTAAAAACGATCTGAAGCAAACAACCACTTTGAGGTCAACCCCTTTTAATCAGTTTCCTTTAATTGCAACAAAAAACAGTTTTTACTTTATAATAATGGTATATAGCCATGCAATCGGTTTCAAGTTCTAATTCATCTTAAAAGCTGCCATCACAAGGATAAGTTCACTTTGATTCCATGATGTGGAATTGGCCAATCCAAAGGCTAATGAATCTAATATAAAGTGTTAAACTACCTCTTTTAAAGAAGAGCCACATACAAGACATTTGACATTGTGGTCAAATCTGGGAAACACATCCCTAAAAGCCATTGTCTAGTTAATCTCTGTTTGGGACCAGTCAAATTAAGTTAAGGGTGAGACAATGAAATATAATAAAGAAAGTCAAGTTTGAGTCACAAATTCATGAGTTCGAAAGCTCGTTAAAAGTCAGTGTATTAGGTCTGAATAGAACAGAAATAGTTATACTATATTGGGATTTCTAAAATTCTAAATATTTCGAACGCCTACTGATGTTTTGTGCTCTTTGAAACATTCAAATACTATGTGCATGGCTAGATAACACCGCAGGTATTTGGCTGAACTGAATCTTATAAAATCCAAAACAGCACCATCTTAACAACTACCTTCTGAAACATAAGCAGTCGTAACACACCTTCCACAGCCATGCTGTGAAAGCACTTTGCAATTCAAATTCTATATGTCATCCATTATTTTCTGCGGTGCATTGTCACACAAGCCAGGGACACTGGCTGAGATATAGCGGTGACTCAGGCCTTTCCAACAGCCACGGTTAAATAAAGCAGCTCAGGGGTTAGCCACACAGCAACTGACAGCCACGGTGACGGAGGAAACATGTCCGAGTGGGAGGTACATATGGATGAGGGCTGAGTTTATTACAGAGCCGTCATGTCGATGTGCTTTGAGCTGCTGATGGACACTGATGTAGAATCCCCCAGAGTGGGGGGAAAAATTATAATGTATTTATATATTCATATGGGAAACAATGGAAGTCTATTCTGAGTTGAGGTTTACTTCATGACGAGCCCATGGAGACAATAAGAGAAGCCCACTGCTATTCAAGTTATTGTTCTGGAAATTAAAACAATGCCTGGCTGCTCAGTCTGTAAACATAATAAAATAAATCTTAAGACAAATACGAGACATCTTCTGATATAACTTCCAATTCTTTGACCAAACCAGTAAAAAAAAAAGAGCCAGTAAATCCCTACACAGCAATCCATCCCTCCTGGGTTAACTATGACAGAGAAGAGCCAAGAGCTCTGTCTAGCTTCTCCAAAACCTGGCTTTAGTGAGCCTAGTTGGGATAAAATAGTGCAATAGTAGGGATGGAAGTGAGGTTAAAACGGCTGGGTGAGCGCGACTAATTTAATCGATGTCGGAGAAATCCCCAAGCGGGAGGAGAGCAGGCCAGGTGAGGCCGGGTACGCTTCAGGAGATTCTTAGCTCGTCTGCCAGTTGAGACATGATAAAGTGAGGTAGGAAGGAAAAGAAAGGAAGAAACGGAAGGAAGGAAGGGTTCCGCCTGTAAGGAGGATTAGAACAGGGATATAAAGCCGATACAGAGCGAAGAGTGTCAGTGTGAATGAAATAAAAACAAGAAAGAAGTCAGCTGAGGTTCTTCCACAGTGTTATATCATATCCTCTCACAATCCCTACCAGTCAGAATGGATTTGATGCTTTGCAGTTCAAAAGACATCTAGGTTATAACTGTGTTAAAAGTATTAAAGCTGTTCTGGAAATAGCACTCATTACATGACATGTAACAGTTGTTTCAACAGTGTTTCAGAGAGGTTACTTAGTGTCTAGTTAGTCTCAAATATGAAGATTAGATTGATACCATTGTTAACTAAATATCTTTTGGGGTTGGTTTTGGGCTTTACAAACAAGCAAACAAACAAACTAATTGACACACGTAACTGTAAATCATCAATAGACTAGTTGAAGAAGAAGTTGGCAGATTATCCACAATTTCCTTTATCGTTTGTTGTCCCCCTTGATACAAATATAATCATTTAAATGTAGTTGCATGCATCTAGATCGCTCTCATAGTAAATCAAATGAGTTATGTTAAATGTAAAGCAGTTTTAACCAAGACTAGATATCTTCTGACCTCATAACTATCACATCAGTGCTTAGACTCACTTTACTTCTCCCGGGTGAGTTTGCAACATTTCACAGCCAGCAAATGCAGATTTGAATAAAGACTGAATTCCAGTAAAGCCTTAACCACACTCCCAACATTGAGTCCAATTATGGCCCAATTAGTTTCAACTCAAACAAAGAAAACAAACCACAACAACTTACTGCCTCAATACCGCTTGTTTCCAGAGTCTCAAGGGATGAAAACCCCAGGTCTTGTGAAAACCAGAGGCTGAACTGGCATTTCTCCAGTGACAGTAGATACTCTGCCCTAGTCTATATTGTACCTCTGTGCTGCTGCCTGGCATTGATGAAGTGTAATCCCCACTGAGGGAGTCGCAGTTCTATTTATAGCCTTATCTATCAGACTGGAGTGAGGCCTCCTTTATTGGTCTTATGTGCTGCGGAGTCTTCCCCTCCGAGCACATGAGGGAGAGCCCTGCACTGCTCCACACCGCACACAGAATACAGAGCACCACCACTGAAAACAGTGTGATACCACCCTGATCCTCCCTGCAGAAAGAAGTTTCGTTATCGATAGATGAGCTCAACATGCTTGGAGGCTTGTCTTATCTTGAGCGCATGAAATATCTTAATCTTTGCAGATTCCAATCAAAGTCAGTAAACAGGAATAAGCTGCTAAAGGCTACTCATTTATCAGTTTCTCTTCACGTTGTTGAATATTTTGCTCAACCTTTTCCTTCCACCACTACATTTTTGTCCTCGATACCGGCTTGTTCTCATTTCCTCGGCCCCACTGGGGGTACCGTTGCTCTCGCAACTCTTCCTGTTCTACTTCCCCATTGGCTTATGCTCCACTTAGCTCCCCCAAGACATTTCCAGTGGGTTTTTCTTTTCTGTAACCTTGAGCCACTGCTGAAAGAACACCTGAGTTTTTCTGTGGCTCTCACACACACAAACACAACCATGCAAACCTGTCCAAAAAAAGAAGACAAGGGACGTACAGTAGAGGCGGACGTTTAACACCAATGAACCGGTGGAAGGAGGAAGATATGTGGACATCATCACACAGGTACTATCTGAGGATATCAACCCCAGTGTCATTTTTTTGGACTCATGCTCTAGGAGTTTCTGCATTTGGTCAAGTTAAGGATTCTGGGTTGATGCAGAAGTCACTAGAAAGATACTAGAAACTTCTGAATATCTGTGTCGTCATCACACATCTCTACTAAAGAGAAATCAAAGAGGATAAAAGCAGCACCAAGTATCGGGTCGGCTGGCCCTCTGCCTGGACTATACGGGACAGACAGGAGGAATGAAAGAAGGACGGAGACGGAGAGAAAACCAGAAACGGTTGGTGTACTCACTGGTCAGCGCCTTCTCGTAGCTCTTCCCCATGGCTATGAAGTTCCGTAAGCAGGGGTTGAACTGCTCCATGATGGACTGGAAAGGGGGGAAAGAAAAAACAGCACGCTTGGTTATTCAAAAGGCAGAAAAGATACCGAAACAAACACTGATATGAGCTAGAATGACGGAGCGCCACTCTTTACTGGGGCACGAACACACGCACACACACAGTCAGATGAGCCAACCAGGAGCAAGAGGAGTGCAGCAGGGATTCGTTTCAAGCTCATGGAAGGGGCGATGGAGGACAGGGAGGGCTTGTGTGTATTAGTGTTGTGGTGTTTGTGTTTGTGGATGAGGGGGGCTGTCTCTATTCAAGTAGACCCTGGTTTTGGCTGCTGACTGCCCTCCTCTCAGCAGTAGACCTGGACCCATCACCGTTTCCTTCAGTCTCTCTAACACTCTCTGAACTGCGGCTTACTGTTCCTGCTAATTGCTTTTTATAAAGGGGATGTTCACCTAAGTTATAAATAAAATATGTTCTCTCCAAGTTCTAGTGATAGCCAGCCTATCCAACAGACATAGTTGATTATGACATAGTTAGATATGGGAATTTATTTTTACAAAAATAGATCAAACTCACAGTAAGTTGACTGTGGTAGATTTATAGTATCGGAATAATCTTGAATATTTTCAGATGACTTACTTGAGAAAGTAATACTTGAGTTATCATGTGAGAAAGAACACATTATACATGTTTTTTGCAGTGGGACCTAATGATTACCTTATTTAAGACTTTTGAATAGTTTTTTGCTAAAAATGATATGCACTAAAAAGAGACGTGTGGTGCCAGAAGTATATTTTGTTCTAAACAAGATGTAAGGTAAAGCCATTCTAGTATGTTTTAGTGCAATTTAAAGAGTTTGAGATAATTATATTTTAGATCATATCGCAATTATTTTGGCCAGGAAAGGCATAAGTAATGTTCTTATCGTCTCTGACTAGATCAAAAACGAAATGGTCTAACTTTATTCTTTGGGTTTTAACTACACTAATAAAAATCATAAGTAAATATTCTACTGTGAAAACAGAAGAAGCTAAAATGAAAACCAGTTAACAAAGCGTTTCAATGTCTTTTGGTAAGTGCAGATTCAACAGTCAGCAAAGTAAGATGTGCCATTTCTTCTGGTTTGATCCAGTGGTGGGTGATAAAGGGAAACTTGGAGAAAAGGCTCAACCAGCACGGAATTATCCCAGAAACACACAAACATACATAAAGCACCATCTAAATTGAAATCGCTCCTTTTTTTATGACGGATAACAAAGCATGGGTCAGCACACAGGCAGTGGAGAATGTCTGCAGCGAACACAGCAAGCAGAGTGAACCCTTGTTAACAAGTGAAGGAAACATCACAAATAAATATATATAATAGGTTTTACCGTCTCTGTGTGTCTCTGGAGTTACTCAACCTCCCCCTCAAAGGTGCCTTTTCAATACTGCGGCGTCTCAGGTAAGACCCAGTACTTTTACTGTCTTTTTTTACTTTGAAATTGCAAGTTTTAGGCAGCACAGTCGGAAGCATCCTTGTTTCAGCCACCATGTGTCAGGGCAAATTAACTGAATCAAACAATGTTTTTGATACTTGTTAAAAGACAAACACTTTCCCATGAATAATATAAAGGAGGAGACCCTCTGAAAGAACATCGTTTATTGTGATCCAAGGGTTTTTAGACACAGAGAGTGTCTTGTTATATGAACGCTCTGCTTGCATAGCTAACCACCAATCACAATCATTCTTGATAAATGTATCAAACAACGAAAGCAGACCCTGCTAGTCCTAGACCATCAGAATGTTTTGGCTACGTAAATTATGATGTTGAGCAAAACATTGTCATGATCTAGGACTAATTCCTTATACAGGGTACAGTATATGCAGGAATCCTGAAGTCAAACGTAAAACCTTTGAAGACCTTTTTTAAGACCCTTTCCATACATTTTAAGACCTCATCGCCACTTTGAGTTCTAACCGGTTACATCGGCGACACACTTTACCTCAAATTGACTATATACAGTAGGCTTGGGCGGTATGATGGTATTACGGTATACCAGGGTATTTCGAAATACCGTCGGTATGATTTTCAATACCGTGACGTCACAGACTGTGCGCCAAATCACAGATGCGTTTCATTCTATTACACTGACACGGAGTTTTGACAGGGACGACATTGGTTGTAATGCACAGCACGCGCCAGCAGAGGGCAGTCCTTCTTTCCCGCTCTCAGAGCTCAGCACAGAGCTGAGCTGAGCAAGATGGCGGCAGCATTTGCCGGCCCCGAACTCGGACAACTAGTAAAAAAGAAAAATGCCTCTGCGCCTGTTTGGGACTATTTTGGGTTTACTCGTCGCCAGTGACTTCATCCAGCACAACGAGAGACAGAGGCACTTCTTTGGGAATGTTTAAGACGGGGTGAGTGAGTGTTGACATTTTTTAATCCTATGCAACTGGTTGATGGTTTTGTAGTCGAGGTCGGACGGTTTTAAAAACGAAAGCATTTACGTGCTAAACATTCACGCGAGTAATCCAATTAATCAAATGGAAATAAAGTTTTTAACACATGCACGGAATAATATTGCCAAACTAGTTAGTGAACATAGCAAACTTTTGTGTCATGTATGCAGCCCTTGTTTTGCACTTGCGCGCACGTCGCGGCACTTTGCGAGCGTCTACCGGCTCGGGCTGCATTTTACACCGAACATATAATATACCGTTCGAAACATNTTGTGATTACAACCTGGTACAAAGCACACAGGCATCTTGTAAAAGTGAATTTATTGGAGCAATCTCTTATATTTATTGGAGGGAATAAATCAGTCTTCTTCTTTGCTTTGCGAGTCGCAACCAGTCTTGGAGCATTATCGCCTATGACATCACTTACGCGACCCAGAATGCATTTGGGATTTGTAGTCTTTCTAGTTGCGTATTTTTTCATAGTCTTATATTTCAACAGTTTTACGACAAACTGTGACTTTTTTTACATGGAAATGATTGTTTAAGATTGACAAACATCATATGTGTCATTCGTGGCACAATTCAAACGGGATCAAAAGATAACTTTTCTCTCTCCATTGACTTCAATGTATAATTTTCCGCTTCCGGGGTCCCATGGAGGCTCCCGGAAGGGGAGGGACTTCGCCTCTCTATATAGGTTCATGCTACCTCAATCAAACTTTCACATTATCATAGTGACATCCCATGTATATATTTCCAGCTTTCAAATGGTTTCGTTGTGTATGTTTGTGTTACCTATATGAAAAATAATATCATTTTCAAAATCTGTTTTTACGTTTTTTTTGTGATTTTGGGTCCAAAATGTTCATATAGTATCTAAAAATGAAAGAAATAACTATCAGGTTATATAGGTGAGGTTGTCCTTAAAACAAAGATACCAAACATTGACTTGCCAAACATTTCTTAATGGGGTTTAGTAAGGCAAATCAAAAGTATGCGAAAACGGCCAAATTAGCCCAGGACTCCAAAGGGTTAAGGCCAAAGGTCCAGAATAGAGGAAATGAGGAGCTAAGCTGAGGCTTGACTTCTTTACTTATTTAGGCAGACATACAGATATTTGTCTGTGTGTGTTTTTTTCGTTCAGTTACGCACACAATACGAAACTTAAGACGGCATAACTTTTACTGCAACTACTGACGCACATTACCCTCTGATGTGTGACGTCACCCAAAAAAACGTGGGTTAGCCCCTCCCCACTATGAAGGCACAACTTAACAGGTATCAACTCTGTATAATAAAATAATATATATACTGTATATATGTATATATATCAATAACTATAACTTTGGGGCCTTTTCTACAAAACTAAATGTATCAATTACATTTTAGAGAGTGGCACAAGCCCTACAATCCAATCATTGTCAACCGTTTATCCGGAATTGGGTAGCAGAAGACGGCCATCAACCAGCTCTGACTGGGGGATTCCAAGCGATCCCAGGGTTTGCCCCTCGGTCTCCTCCCAGGAGCGGCCTAGGTGACATCCTTACCAGGTGTCCGAACCACCTCAACTGGCTACCTTCTACGTAAAGGAGCTGCATCTCTACTGTGAGTCCCTCCCGGATGACTGAACTTAATCCGGGGGATGCCAGTTATCCTCTGGAAGAAACCCATTCCATCCTTGTATCTGAATCTCATTCTTTCGGTCATGACCCCCCCCCTTCATGACTATCGGTGAGGGTTAGGTTGAAAAGTGCAGAGAAACAGCATAGTGCGTGCCACTCTAGTCTTCTATGTAAACAGAAGATACATGGAATAGCTTTTTTCACCATTAAATGTCTTCTTTTGTAATTTTCACGGTCCGTTAACTAAATGTGTAAAAAGGAGCTTGATGACTGTGTAATGATGTGAGGATGCACTTACGGGCTTACATTTCCATATTAATGAGAGCATCGCAGAGAGCTTTTTACCTCACAAGGCAAACACAAGTTCCCCTCAGCGACTGTGACGAAGTTGAAGCCTGTACCTTTAAAAGCTGCTTCTCATCCAAAGCCATTTGCAGCTAGTGTAGCTCCTCGCTTGTTTAAATGAGCACCCTGATGATTGCCATCAGTGCTGAAGTGATTGAACTGAGTGAATCTAAGGTAGAGAAACTATGTGGCCAATGTGGAGGGAATGAGCCGAACAGATTGAATTGGAAAGGGGTACATATAAAAACAGCTATAAAAAGTGGAGGGAAAAAAAGCGTTTCCCACAAGTCGATTGAGAGAGCTCAAATGTGCATGTTGAAAACAATCTACGATTAAATAGTCTACATGAAACGGTTTTGTAGGAAATGGTGTGCAGGTTCACTGACTGGTGTACTTGATGCAAAACAATAAAGTGCATTCCATTTTTTTTTCAAGTTTAACAAAAAGTGCAAAGGGAGTTGTCCTCAGAAAAATAGTTCATTACAACAAGACCTAAAATGCACACTGACACTTCTTCTAAAATACTTTTAGCGCTTCCAGACTTTGGGAGTAACGTAATCAGGATACAGAAAAAGGTAACTGTATTCCCTTACAGTTACATAAGAGAGTAATCAGATTATAT